GGTGGGGAGGGCAGGGGCCTACTGCCCCCTGTCACGGGCATAAACTGATCTAGTTAATTCCGTGACATAGGTATAGATGTTTTGAATATTATCATTTGTAGTGCTGAGAATTTTTTTAGAAAACAGTTATACTCAGTTAAGAAGGTGTAGTAAAGATGTTAAAGAACTCCCTTTTGTGTTGACCAGTGATGAACATAAAAACATCTCCCAGTTAATGTATAGGCAGCTGATGTGACTGCCTCTGTCCTTAGCAGCTTGCACAAAGGAACTCCACAAACCATTTCAATATTGGGCTGCTGAGGGAAGCTGTCAGAACCGGAACACTCTGTCCTCTTGCAGAGGACCGGGATGCTTTTACAGCTGACTGACAGCTGCTTTGTTTGTGGCCATAGCTCCTGAGGAGTGCAGCAGTGCTAAGAGCTGAGAGAAAACACAGGAATGTTGCACCTCCTGAACGATTCTGAGGTATCAGTGACCTAGAACAGGTGCTGGAGAGGAGTTGCAGGGTGGTATCATGGCAGCTGAGCACAATGGACTGTGCTTCTGATAAGACGACTTATCACAGAGTGAGCAGTGACAACAGATTTACGAGGCTTGCAGCACTGTCTTCATCCCATCTCTCTCCGCTTTCAGATTCTCAGTCCAGCCCACAGAGCAAAATGAAATGGAGGAGGAAGAAAATGTGCTAACAGTTCTTGCTTGGTTCCTATTGCAGAGCAACTTATTGCCCACTAGTCAGAGCAGAACAGTGCCTGCTGTCTGGTAAACCTCATGCAGAAGCACTGGCACTTTTGCATAATGTACTCCCACCCCTGTCCCTTCCTCCGACAGGATGCAGGGCACCCACAGCCTCTGGGCACCCTGGGCCAGGCCTTGCTGCCTCTGACCTCTACACATCTACCTCAATTTTCTCTCTTTGAGTTTAAAGCCATTCCCACACATATTATCTGTCTGCCAATGCCAAGTGGCACACAAGGTCTGGCAGTGGGTCAAAGTAGTAACATGACAACAGTACAGCATAGACAACTGTGGTATTACTTTCTGCTTATTGGTACAACACAGCCTGGAAAGTCCCAGTCAATGCCAGCAGCAGTTCTCTGGCTGTCAGATGATGCCCCTAAACCCACATGCCAGGGGTGCTCCCACCTCCTGACCAATGGTGGAGAGGAGTGTGAGGACAGAGATGATGCTGGGGGGGGCTGGGTGCTGCTGGGTCTGTCATACTTCCTCCTGGCAGTGGTTTTACAGATGTTGCATGATGCCCCTAACTCTACCCCCTGGGGGGGACCGCTCCCACCTCCTGATGGATGGTGGAGAGGAGGGGGAGGGCAGAGCTGGTGGGGGGGGGGACTGGGGGCTGCTGGGCCTGTCATACTTCCCCCAGGACACAGTTGTCCATCTGTCGGAAAATTTCCCCAAGCCTACACCCTGGCGGGGCAACTCCTTTCCCCTGAAGGTTTGTGGAGGGTAGTGAGAGGGTGGTGACGGTGCCTGGGTGGACAGGGGGATGCTGGGCCTGTTGTGCCTTCCCTGGGCACCCATTGTCTGTTGACTGGGCCGTGCTGTCAAGCCTACAGCCTGGGGAAGCTGTTCCCGTTCCCTGAAGGATGGTGGAGGAGGACGGGGGGGTGGTGTTGATGTCCAGGGACAGCTGGGCCTGTCGCTCATAGGCCAGGGAGCCGTTGTTTGGGTGCTGACCGATGACCACAAGCCTCCAAATCGGGCAGGTTTCTTCCATCCCATGAAAGAGGGTGGAGGGGGACGGGGGGGCGGTGTTGATGCCTGGGGGCTGCTAGGCCTGTCACACATCCCGGGGGCCTCGGAGCCTGGGCTGGTGGGCCGTGGAGTCTGAGGCGGGGGCAACTGAGCCTGGCAGCTGTCTGGCCCAGCGGAGTCTGCTCTGGTGGTGCTCTGCGGCAGGAGGGCAGGTTGTCCCTGCACAGGTGGTGGCTGTCCATGCCGTGTCTGTCGGTCGGGCACCTTGAGGAGAGCAGGCTGTCCATCCAAGTGCGAGTTGTGGCCGTGGGCATCGGGCCAGGCTCCAGCAGCTGCAGCAAGGTGCCTGTGGAGAGAGGAATGTGCTGAGGGCACATGAAAGCCCCTGCTCTCCTTCCTCACAGCACATGGCAAAGAACCACCCTCAGCTCCCAGCCTGTCTCAGGCCTAGCAGTAAGGACAGGATGCAGGAATGGCAAGGCCAATTAAAACATTTGACAGTGTAAATCTCAGACCATGTAAGCCAACAACTAACTGGCCTCTCCATGCTGCTTTAACTAGAAATGCCTCCTGGCTTTTATATAGCTTTTTTATAGCAGCCCTATAGTAAAGAGATGGGCAGGATGGGGATGGTGGTGAACAACAACTCACTGGTTTCTCTGCCTACATCGCCGGATAACAAGACAGAACGTAATCATCGCTGCCAGCATGGAAACCAGGAGAGCCGCAGTAAGTGCAAGGCAGTACTTCAGTAGATCTTCATCTTCTGTGGCATTTGCATGTCCTTCACCATCCACACCTGGAGAAACAAAGTGGTCATTGCTGTGTCTCACACCCTACTGGCAATCTCACAGGAGGCCTGACATTGCCACAAAATGTTCTTTTCCATTTTGTTGGCCTCCCGGAGCAAGTGAAAATCCTCAGGCTGCAATGCTTCCCTGATTCCAGGGGAAACAAAGGGAACTCTAAAGGGCACTGCATATCAAGGCACTCTGGAGCCTCTATTTTGCCTCTCAGCTTTGTTTACACTCTGGCTCTGCCATGGTCCAGATCTTGCTGGGCCACGGATTTGCTCCTTCTTCTCCATCATGCTCTAAGATTCCTTTGCACTTGCCCACTCGTGCTTTTCAGGCTCACTAGTGCTGCTACAGGCAAGCAGGGACACTGTGATCCTTCGGGACACGTTGTCTGACTAAACAAAACTCATTAGAGCAGAAGGAGAGCATGTGGATCTGTTTAACCAATTGCTGCTTTGAGTAACACGGGCAAGAACCGCCACAGGAGGGATCCCGCTCCAGGCTGCTGCTGTGCCTGGAAGGGAACTCAAGGGAGGCACAGCAAGCTCTGGAATGCGGGAACTGTGGGAGGGAGGTTTGTTGGAGGGTCCTATCTCCTCTCCTCATCTGTTGAATGTGGTTCTGGTGGCCTTGTTCCCAAAAGGACAGAGTTCCTAAGTCCCTGGGAACTGGGTGCAGTGAGAGGGGAGTAACCTCTAGCCACAGCCACGGAGCTCTATGAGCAGCCTTTACCTGGAGCGCCAGTTGTGTGTGTGGCCTCTGTTTCTCCCAGAGGGACGGGCAGTGTGCGATGGCTGCCTTGCTGAAATGCATCCCTGTGCACAGGCTCTATGTCTGTCTCTTTAGAAAGGAGGTAAGAGAGTGGGACTGTAAGTAACTGCTTCTCATCAGGAAGATGGTATCTTCAGGAGGCATCAGTTCTCTAGACACATCAGTAAAGTTTAGGAACAAAGCCTGGGCTTTTTACGGTGCACCTCATTCCTAGTCCTAACTGCATGCCATTCCATGAGACAAACTGAAGTGCTACACACTTTCCAGTTTGCAAGCACAGACAGCAAAACCTGTCCTGCTGGGAAACCAGCAGGTTGCGGGCAAGCTTCCTGTTCACAGTGCACCTTGTGCGATTCTGGCAAGTTGCAAGATGTTGCAAAATTCCTTCCTTCAAAGAGAGCAGCAAAAAGCTGCAAGCCAGTTCAGACACAGAGGCCACAGAAGGGCTCTGATTCATCCTTTCCAGTTTCCCCACATATATTTCTAGAAACTCAACTTCCCAAGTCTTTCAGGGAACAGACAGAAATACACTCACCATGCGCTGCCTTGTCCTTCATGATTTTCATTAGCATATGGGACAGCGTCTGGGGATATTTTCCTCTTTCCCGTGTCTTTCTCAATCTCTCAGGACCTTAACAGAAAGCATTAAGATAAATTTCAGACAAACAAAGTACTGAACTGAGTGGTCTTTTCGGTGAAGTCAATAAAGACAACAGCCACCCCCGGGGATGCCTGTAGGGCTCCAGTACAGGAGGCAGCCGAGGATTTGGCCCAGCCTTCCCTAGAGGCACTTCTGCAGCCAAAGAATGAGGAGAACTTTCCACCACACACTGCAATCTACATAACTGCATAATGGCATCACTGAAGAGCAGATGGTGCCAGGGGATCATGCGAGGACAGGGGACGCACATGTAGGTGTGCATTCTCATGCACACCTGCAGACAAGCCTGGCTGACGTTAGGACTGTGAACTGGCATATCTCAGAGGAAGCAAAAACTCATGGCATACCCATACGAGTTGCTGGGGCTTCGGTCCTGAAGCTCAGCTGGGAAGCTGGATCCCACTCAACTCCACTCACACCTGTAAACAAACACAGACAGAGCAGCTCTTGTCAAACATGGCCAGATACTTATTTAGACTGGAATGACAGCATTGCTCCACAGCACTCTTCTCTCCCTGCTACACAACAGCATCTGGCAAATAGGAAGAGGAAGATCAAAAGGTCTTTTTATGTGTGATTGCCCTGAGGCTCACGGAATGGATTATGCTGAGGCTTTGGCAAGGCACTGCTTATAGGCACAGCTGTAATCAAGCAGCGATGATAAAAGTTCCCATTGCATGTTGTGATCTCTCTCTTCCTTAGAGACCTGCAGTGACTGGAAAGGGCTCAGGAGATGATGTGGCATCCAGAGCTGGGTCGAATGTTGCAAAATTGGAGGGGGGCCAGGTGGGCAGTTGGCTGGCTCTCAGCAGCTTTCCAGATCTCTCTCCAGGCCACGTGAAACAATCCTCAGAGACAGCATGAAAGAGCATTTGGCCCCTCAAGGTTTTCTTATTGGAAGATCTCTGATGTATGGAGACAATAACAAAAGGACACTGGGAGCAAACAGCACCCAAGAAGCAGTGAATACCCAAGCCTATCATGGAGAAGAAATCACTGGGCTGAATCCTTCCTGAACTACCACAACCAAATATGAGCAAAGATCATGAGATGAAGACTGGTGACTTACCTCTGGCATCCACCGCAGGCTCAGGGACAGGACTTCGCTCTGGTAATCCACCAAGACAGCCTGCAGGCACAAGTGTGATCAAACACAGGTGAGGAGAGCTTCCACTGCACACTGGGGCCTGCTTTTTCTGCAGTGACCTCTGAGGACTGGCAGCAGGTCAGGGAATGACATGGCCCAAACAGCAAAGGTATAGGTTCCCTCCTCCAAAGAGTGGCAAGGGCTGCCTTCCCACTGAAATGTGAGAGCTCTCCAAGAAATACACAGGACTGCTCTGTGTACAGCCTTCAAGGCACAAAGAGACTTGAAAAACCTTTGGAGGTTCTTAAGTACCCAAATAAACTATTACTGCCCTAATTTTTCTGCCTTCAAGAAAACAGACACTCACAACTTACCTCTGGGTTTCCCCTGAGGCACAAAAGCAGTTTCCATCCAATCATCCGGATAAGGAGCACCAATGTCATCATATAGAATCAAGAACAGAAGAGGGATGCTCCCATTGCATGTTGTGATCTCCTTCTCCCTTAGTGATGGGGGAAGGCTCAGGTAATGGGATGGGAGAGTCAGGCCGTGATTGCCAGAGGTACAGGTGGCCTGGAGCCTGCCACTCAGCAGCTTTCCAAATGCTCTCTCCAGGCCACGTACGACACCCCTCCTGGACCGTGTGGAAGAGCATACAAAGAAAAGACTCCTGAACCCATCTGGGCTCCAGCCGAGGGTCTCTATTGGGAACCAGGATTCGTCTCTGGAGTGCACTAGGAAGCCAGAGCAGAAATGCTCACACCTTTCCCAGCACACATCTTCTGAGCTCTCCCATAGAACACCCTCAGGTGAAGAGTGTGCTCCAGCCAGCCAGCAGCATAACCATGGCCCAGCATGGCTGGAGCCAGGGCCTGCGGAGCATTGCTTCCTTACACTCTTGCCCAGCTCCTGTGGTGCTGAGTGCTGACTGTCCCCCCCTCTCAATGCACCTCCCATGGAAGGTAGCCCTGGGGCAGCACGGCACAGAGCCATGGGGACAACAGCCCTGACCTCTCGTCCCCGGTGCTGCTCGGTTTTGGCCCCATCTCTGCCCACCCACCTGGTCCTGGTGCTCGCCACGGAGCAGCACAAATCTCCTGGGAACACATGGCCATCAGTAGGAGGAGGAGAGCAAGGCGGGCAGGGGCCGTGGCCCCCCACACTCGTGCCATGCTGCCACCACCACCGCTGTAGCCACAGCAAGTGCTGCTGCTGGGGCCAGCACAGAATGTCTGGGGCACACGCTGAGCATTGTGACCTCACTGCACAAGGTAGGGCATTGTGACCTCACTGCAGAAGGCGAGGCATTGTGACCTCACATCCCCAAGATGCTGGCTGGGGCTCCCCAGGGCTGCTCCTCCTGTGCAGCAGGGCTGCATGGAGCGGGTGCTCACGACACCCCTTAGAGGGTGAGTGCCGGACTGCTGGGACGGAACCACGGGGAACACGTCCTGTTGGTCAGATCTGTTCTGCCACAAGGGCGAGGTTCTCCCTGGGCTTGTTACAGGCATTGTCACCGTGGGTGAGGATTTACAGTCATCTAGAGCAGCAGGATACCACAGCTGACATTTTCACATTTACATCATGGAAACGTAGAATTGTGCAATGGCTTGGGTGGGAACGGATATTAAAGACCCAGAGATGCTGTCAAAGGATAAAGAAAATCATTTCAGTGCTGTTTTCACCGCTTCACACAAATCAAGAGATTTAGTTTTGCCTTTTAATGGCACCAAAGAAGACATTTGTTCAATGACATTATGTTTCTTATCACAGTCTCTAAAAAAAATGGCAAACTGTGCTGTATTCTTTTGTAAATTGCCAGAGCATAACATCTGAAATTTGCAGCTTTGCTCTGCCAATTGGGTCATTAACACAGTTAATTAACATGTCATTAACATAGTTTTGAGTGTGAGCATGTCACGGTTTGGGTCAAAATACATGTAAGAAACAAGTTTGGGCGTGTGTGAGGACCACAATTTGGGTCAAAATATGTCATTTACCCAATTTTGGAGTGCGGGAAATGGCTGTGTCCCTCAGTTGCCAACACCAGCCCCAGCCTTCCTCTCTCCCTGCAGTGCTTTGTGCAGTGGGATGCAGAGTGCGTTTCACACAGCTCGCCTGCACTGCCTGTGCCAGTACCACGAATTGCTTTGGGGATGGGCACCAGGCCGGGAACAGGCTGATGGAGGTGGAATCGCCCCAGGTCACTGTGGCCAGAAAAGGCTCAGGGAGCAGTGGCAGCATGGGCAGTTCCCATGGAGTGGGGGAAACAGAGGCAACTGGGCCTGCTGTGCAGATATACAGATAGGCATACAGATACCACACGTCACGGCTCTTCTGCCTCCACATTGGGTCCTGGCAATTGTGTCTTCAGACAGGGACTCAGCCAAGCCTGTACATCCACAGCAGGACTTTCCTGGCCATAGCATCTCGACCCCAGGATGTGCTCCATCATGTACTTCTAGGAAATGCACATCTGGCGCTGCACAAAGGCCTCTGAAAGTAAAAGTCACCTGGCAAGTTAGAACTCCTCCCACATTCCCCAGCACTGTCTCTTAAATCTCATGTAGTGCAGACTCTGTCTCAGACTGTGACTGTGGCGCAATAGCACAGATAGTATCCCGTCTCACTTTATGCTGTCGTGTAAGAGGACAAAGAGCTGAAGGCACAGGCTGTGACGGGACACACAGAACCTTCACACCATCGCACGCTGCCTGCCTTTCATCAATTCTAGAAATACCCAGAAGAGCTCAGTTTTCTCATGCTTTCATTTACTTGCACAAACCATTTTAAAATGCATGTTGTTGTAGGGCGGCACAAGTACTAAGGCCAAGAGCCACAGTCACAGAGGCCAGAAGCAGCTCTCTGGGGCCTAAAGCCACAGCCAAAGCCAGATAGGCTGGCACCAGCCCCAGGGCCAAAAACCACAGCCCGAGAGGCCAGCACCAGCCCCAGGGCCTAAAGCCACTGCCAGAGACACTAGCACCAGACCTGGGGCATAAAAACAGCCAGAGAAACCAGCACCGGTGCCAAAAGCCACAGCCTGAGTGGCCAACGATGACCCCGGGACCTAAAGCCATAGCCCAGCAGGACAGCAGCAGCCCCAGGGCCTATATCCACAACCACAGCCAAACAGGCTGATACCAGCTGTGGGGCCAAAGCTGTGCCAGAGAGGCTGGAACAGCCCAGGGGCCAAAAAACACTGCCAGATAGACTGGCACTGGCCCCAAGGCCAAAATCATCAGCCAGAGAGGCCTGGACTGGCCCCAGGGCCTAAAGCCAAAGCCAATGCAGAAGAGGCCAGAACCAGCTTCGGGCCTAAAGCCACCCCCAGAGAGGCTAGCATGGTCCTGAGGCCTAAAGCCTGAGAGGACAGCACCAGCTCTGGGGCCTAAAACCACAGCCAGAGAGACTGGCCCCGGCCCTGGGACATAAAGCCACAGCCACAGTTAGAGAGGCCAGGGCCAAAAGCCCAAAGAGCAAGGCCTGCAGCTGCACACCATTCTTAGTGTGCAAAGTATGCATCACAAGTCAAAATGCGTCATGAACTTGATTTTGGAGTGTAAGAACGTCACAGTTTGGGTCAATATGTGTGTATTAAAGCAGTTTGGGAATGTGTGAGGGCCACAATTTGAAACATAATATGTCATTAACCCAATTTTGGAGTGTGAAAATGTTACAATTTGCATCAAAAGAGGTCACAAACCCAATTCTTAAGTGTGTGAAGGCCACCATTTGGGTCAAAATATGTCTCTAAACCCAATTTCAGAGTGACAATGACTTAAGTTGGAGCATTAACCTTAAGTTAAGGTCAAAATGCTCCATCCCTCGAGGCGTTCAGGGCCAGGCTGGATGCACTCTGTGCAGGCGTACCCAGACTGCTGTGGCTGCAACGATGGTGGTGGCAGCATGGCACGAGTGTGGGGAGCCACGGCCCCTGCCCACCTTGCTCTCCTGTGCCCTCAGCACGTTCCTCTCTCCGCAGGTGCCTTGCTGCAGCTGCCAGAGCCCAGCCCGATGCCCACAGCTGCAGCTCGCACTCGGATGGACGGCCTGCTCTCCTCAAGGTGCCCAACCGACAGACACAGCACGGATGGCCACCGCCTGTGCAGGGATGACCTGCCCTCCTGCCACAGAGCACCACCAGAGTGGCCCAGCTGCCTGGTATGGATTCAGTGTTTGTTCCCAGTGTTGATGATTTTGATAAGAAACTCACTGAGGCTGATGCTTACTTACAGATATTCACAGACCAATTGAAGCTTATTGATGAAAAACTCCAGAACTGTAAAGATGATGAACAGAGGAAAAAAAATGGAAGTCTGAAAGAAACCATCAATTGCATGGTAGAATCAGTGAAACACTGCATGGTCTTGCTACAGATTGCTAAAGACCAAAATAATGAGGAGAAGCATGCAGATGGACTTAGAAATCTGACTCCAACACCAAATAGTAAAGGAAGCATGCAATCAGCACTTAGCAGCAGCCTCACTTCTCCAAGACATGTCAATCTGTCTCCAAACACAGTTCTGGATTTTTCTTACTCAAGTGAGGATGAATTCTATGATGCTCTTGAATTCTATCAGAGCAGCTCTTCCCCAAAGCAATGTATGGATTCTTCAGGGTCTGCTGCAGTCCTGACTTGTAGCAACACAGAGAGTAATTTGAAACGTCTGGATACCAGAGTCACTCCATTCTCCCATATCTAATGGAACAAATGACACTGATCTTTTCCTCCTGATGATAGAGATGATGATGCAGAAGGAGAAGCAGTGGAAGAACACAAGAGTGTTATCATGCATCTCTTGTCACAAGTCAGATTAGGAATGAATCTAACAAAGGTGGTTCTTCCAACATTTATCCTGGAAAGAAGATCACTGTTGGAAATGTATGCTGACTTTTTTGCACATCCGGACTTATTTGTCAGCATTAGTGACCAGAAGGATCCAAAAGAAAGAATGCTTCAAGTGGGTAAATTATACCTCTCAGCTCTTCGTGCTGGAAGAAAAAGAATAAAAGTTGTTAAAAACCCTTACAATCCCATTCTGGGCGAGATCTTCCAATGTCATTGGCTATTACCAGGCACTGAAGGTGAAGATGATACGGAGGCAGTTTCTGAAGGACCAGTTTCCTGGGTCAGCAAAAGCAATGTAACATTTGTGGCAGCACAGGTTTCTCATCATCCTCCAATTTCAGCATTTTACACAGAGGATTTAACAAGAGGATACAATTCAGTGCTCACATATTTACCAAGTCAAAATTCTTAGGAATGTCTATTGGAGTTCATAACATAGGGCAAGGGTGTGTCACATGCATAGATTGTGATGAACACTATCTTTTGACCTTTCCTAATGGTTATGAAAGATCTGTTCTCACTGCGCCATGGATAGAGCTTGGTGGAGAATGCGGTATTAGTTGCTCGAAGACAGGCTATAACGCTTCCATTGTCTTTCACAGAAAACCATTTTATGGAGGAAAGAAACACAATTACAGCTGAAATCTTCTCTCCTAATAACAAGAAACCCATCTGCTCAGTTGAAGGAGAATGGAATTGTGTCATGTATGCAAAATACTCAACAGGGGAGAACACTGTCTTTATAGATACCAAGAAAATGCCTATAATTTAGAAGAAGGTAAGGAAATTGGAAGACCAAGAGGACTTTGAGTCTCGCTCCTTATGGAAAGGTGTAACCTGCAATTTAAAAATAAGAGACACTGATGCAGCTACAGCTGCAAAGCATGCAGTTGAAGAAAGACAGAAAGCTGAAGCCAGAACCAGAAAGGAGAATGAGACCCCATGGGAAACAAGGTCATTTCATGAAGATGGAGAATGCTGGGTTTACGATGAGCCACTACTGAAACAACTTGCCGCCAAAAAACACTGAGGAGGTTAGAAAAAAAGAGTTCTTGCCTTGACTTAGCAGAGTTTATATCTAATTCTATGAACAGACACCACCTGTGCAGGGACGACCTGCCCACTGGTCACAGAGCACCACAAGAGCAGCCTCCGCCAGGCCAGACAGCTATTGGGCTCAGCTGCCCCCACCTGGGCCCGCACAGACCACCAGCCCAGACTCCGCGGCCCCCAGGGTGTGCAACAGGCCCAGCAGCCCCCAGGCATCAACACCGCCCCCGCCTCCCTCCACCCTCTTTCAAGGGACTGAAGCAGCACCCGGAGGTGTGCTTGG